AACTGCTGCTGTAGGTACTGCCAAAACGAGAGGTTGTCGGATCCCTGATGCGTGAGAGGGAAGGTTCTCTTGTGCTTGTGCGAGACAGCGAGGAATCCCTCACGCGGGACAAGGAAGAGTCTCTGGTGGATCCGAAACGACTTGAGGACAGGTCGCGACTCCTAAGACTCGAGGAATCACTTGGACGGGGCAGGGAGGAGGAGACGCTACTCGTGTCCTTATCCCGGGAATACAGACTTCGGGTCGTTGTATCTCGCGAACGTCGGTCGTCGTCTGCAGTCGTCGCCCACCTGCTTTTGGCAAGAGGCGGACGATTGTCTTCGGTTGACTGTTTCCTGAGGTAGAAGGGGATCTCTGAGGGCTTGGTTTCCGATTCTCGACGCCTCATGAATGGGTGGGACGTCCTCTCAGTATTGGCTGTGCCTGAGTATGCTTTGTTTCCAAAGACTGTATCCTTCGGTTCCTCTGGCTGTGTCGCTCTCGTTCTCCATCTGTTAGTGACGAAGCTTTGTGGTTTGTATTCATCTGTTGTGGTCTTACTGCTACTAGTGTCTTGTGTTTTGGAAGTATCATCTTCAGTTCGTCGAGTACGCCATCTGTTAGTAGAAAAGCTATCAGGTTTGTATTCTTCTATTGAGGTCTTCCTTTCTTCAGTCTTCTTGCTTTCCGAATCCTCTGGCTTGGGCCGCACTCGCCACCTGTTGGTCGAGAAACTGGTAGGCATGTATTCTTCAACAGAAGTCTTTCTTTCGGTGTCTTCTGCTTTCTTAGTCTCTGAATCCTCTGGTTTCGATCTTGTTCTCCACCTGTTGGTAGAGAAACTCGAGGGTTTATACTCTTCAGTCTTAGTCGAGGTTTCATAGGACTTCTTGGTGTCTGAGTCCTCCTCTCTACTCCTGGTTCTCCACCTGTTAGTAGAGAAGCTCTCTGGCTTGTATTCTTCAACAGATGTCCTTCTGCTGCTGTAAGATGGTGAAGTTTCGTAACTAACAACACCTTCCCGACGTCTGGTAACCGGAGGTGCATCAGGGGACTTGGCACCAGAGGGAGGGGAACGTTTACGGGTATAGGATATCTCAGGCACCTTGAGTGTTTCTGGTCGTCGACGTCGGGCGGTTGTCTCCACTGGTTGGGCCTCCTGTTCTTCCTCTTGGGGCTGTGGGCGGCGACGTCTCTCAACGGGCTTCTCCTCTTCACCAGTGTCCAGTTGGTAAAGGAGCTCAGTTATCACACCAGGCTTGACATCTCCTTCACTCTCCTCAACTCTCTTGTTGGGATCTACTGCTGCCTTGATAAAGAAGAACTCTGCATCTTCTGTTTCCACATAGTGCATTCCACCTGTTCCACCCCAGAGCTCCACATCCGAGCTACCAGAGCTCATCCGTCCAATCTTCACCATAACCTGAAAGAATTATCAGTGTAGAAAATGAAGTTTAATTTGGGTAATAAAGATAAAAGAAATGATTGCTAATAGCCAGCATTGATGACACCAAACTCCTTGATTATTAGAGGCTTAAAAAGGGAAAAATTACAAACCTTATAACACTGATTTGCTTCGATTCTGACGGGTGTGTTGAACATTAGGCGCACATCTGCTGTCTCTTGTTTTTCTCCAGATACACGGCAGTATGTCTGGCAAGAGTGTAGAAGTTAGCAAAAAGGGAAGCAGACAGTGTATTTCACTATCTTTCCAATTATTATTATGAAGTTGTTTAACTCGCTATTCTTCTACATTTTCTTTTCATTTCACGAATACTTCTTACCTCAAAGCAGCCTCGAAATTCTTCAAGACACATACTAGGAAATACAACATTAAAGTGGGAAAGAGGAATTTACATAAATAATCTTAAACAACAATAACAATCACAGATTTCAATAATACTAAAGTTCCTATTCCAAAACCTTGAAATCTCGATCATGTAAGCATACATATGGCATCCTATGCCTCCTTCTTGCCTCCGAGATAAATTTCTTTCCATCACCTCTCTCTTTCACACTCTCCATACCTTCTCTATATCTGTCCACTGACGCGTCTCCCAAGGACCTTGACAATGGACTGTCACGCCCATGTCTGTGCTACTGAACAGAAAACCAAAACCGACGCCCAAAAGCTTGATGTTCTTGTCCACACGGAACCTCAGCTCATGAGACTGGTAGATCTGGAATCGATGGAGACGGTGAGGTACTGTGGTTTTTGGATAAAGTGTCATATGTATTAGTTTTTCTCTGTATTTGTCTAAGGTTAGGCTGTGAGGTTAGTAGAACCACCTGGCGAGTACGCTGACGTTCTTCTGTATATTTCGTATATTTCGTTTTATCATATCTGTTGACCTTAATGAATAGGCTAAGATTGATGAGTAGGCTAAAGTTTTCCTGCACTGTTAGACTTGGACACTTGGTTGAACCTCATGAGTAGCCCTAAATCCTCCTGTATCATTTGAATATTTCTATGGTTTAATTCATTCTCTAGTCATATAAGCTGGATGTTTAGAATGATGTTCCAAAAATCTATTAATACTAATATGACTTAGAAATTAGTACTACAATTTGGGCAACATTTCCTCACCTCTTTCTGCGGACATCTGTAACCTTTCCGGAACCTGCAGACTTTGTTAAACTCAAGCAAAGAGCCGTTCTGTGTGAGAGAAGTTATCTGTGGAGAAAAAAATCTTTGTAAGTGGAGGAAATAGCTTGGTAAAGGATTGGGGAAAAGGGTTGGGTACCAAAGGGATTTTAGGATAGGGAATAAGGGAATGGGAATCTCTTGGGGCAGTTTTGCAAGTTGTTATAATCATTAGATTCGTTTTCAATCTCAGACGTTGATGTTAAAACTTTGATGATTTTATAATGAAAGAGACAAAAACAAAATATGAGAAAATGAACGAAAAGCAAAATAAAATTAAGAACTATACTTAGACTGAATATGAAAAATCAAATCAGTTACCTTGCAGATACAAAAGAAATTATAGACATGAAGCAAAACTGAAACAAAAAAGGATAATCAAATAACAATTCTTTAAAAACGCACATAAAATAAAACAAAACCATAAGGATGCTTCCGACTATCCTCCAACCCCCCTGCGTCCCCACAAACACAGGTTCCTTATACCACCTCGTTCCACTTCGTACCACTTTGTGCCATCTCGCAGGCGGAGGAACACGGGGGGGGAGAACGACACCTACACACGGTACGTACTTTGTTCACGGTCTCGGCTACGGGCGTGAGGTGGTTGTGAGTTGCCTTCTTGCCCTGGAGGCTGTTGGCAGGGCCTCCCTTCGAGCCTCTCCTCTCCTTCAACTCGGGGTCAGAGGTTGCACAAAACCACAACCAGAACGGAAGCTACAGAGAGACAGGATCTGACCGAAGAGGGAGCGGGTTGTGGTAAAGGGGAGGGATGGAAAGGATGGAAAAAAGGGGAAGAGAGAGAGAGAGAAGATAGAGTGGGGGGAAGGAAGGGAAGTGAAAACGAGAAGTGTGGCAGAGAGGGTGAGAGGATGGGAAGGAAGGAGAGAAAGAGAGAGAGAAAAGATAGGGTGGGGGGAAGGAACGGAAGTGAAAACGAGAGGTGTGGAAGAGAGGGTAAGAGGATGGGAAGGAAGGAGAGAGAGAAAGAGAGAGAGAAGATAGGGTGGGGGAAGGAAGGGAAGTGAAAATGAGAGGTGTGGAAGAGAGGGTGGAAGGGAAGGAGAGAGAGAGAGAGAGAGAGAGAGAGAGAGAGAGAGAGAGAGAGAGAGAGAGAGAGAGAGAGAGAGAGAGAGAGAGAGAGAGAGAGAGAGAGAGAGAGAGAGGTAAAGGAGTAAAGGAGAGAAATAAAGGAAAAGGCCAAATGACAATACAAAGAAAACGGAGCCAATTGGATCGTACGAAAACGCGAAGAATCATCGCATGGGAAAAGAAAACGGGTAGAATTGTTTTGGAAAGAAAACAACACATGACGGACAAAACATGAAACAAAAACGAACAATAACATAAATGCAGGACAAAAATAGATTCATCACAACGTAATGACACATGCACAGTGAAAAATGAAAATGGGAAAAATGGGCAATGTGATGATACAAGTTAAAAAAAGAACAAAAAAAAAAAACAAAAAAAAAAACGATAAATGTAATCAATAATAAATAGGCAAAATACCCATTCCCACAGTCAAATAGTCATCGGTGAAAAATGTTGAAGTTGCATTCAAATATATGAAACAAAAAATGAATGGCAGAAAGAAAAACAAAACATTGACATATACGATCACAAAAAATAGTAACATGATCGAAAAAGAGAAAAGAAAGTTAAACAGAAAAAAGATTTTATAAGATTTTTTTATATAAAGAAATTTAGATAAATAGAGTTAAAGAAATCGAAAAAGCGTGGAAAAAAAAGAGATTAGGTAGATTTTTGTTGAAATTTAGACGAGCAAAGCATCAGTCGGAAAAGATAAAATAGTTATAGTAACCGAAATAAAGTGAAAGAAAAGATTAGGTCAAAGGTTAAAAATATATACAGTTTATGGAGTGTGTGAAAGGTAATGGATAGGGTTAAGAAAAGAAAAGAAAAAATATAAGTTTAGTTTGCGCTCCAGAAGTAGTTTTGAGCTTGGATTAGAGACATAAATAACGTCTACTATTATACTAGATAAGTAAATATACTACTATATAAAAAATATGGAAAGTTATCAATAACTACATTTGTTTTCTTTTTCAGAACCACCTAAACAATAACATAAAAAAAAAGTTTCAAAAAATTTAAAATTCAGTGCAAAATATAAAGCCTTTTCGTCATGGCAAAGTATGGCAACCTACATGTATATATAAAAAATGTCAAAACATGAGTCTATTCCTGTTCTTATGAAATAACTGCTGTATATAGAAGACTTCCAGAGTCAGTTTGTGGAGTTAAACATTGAACAGGAAAATATCAACTAAGATCCTGCAACTGTACAATGGACTCTACACGTATTTTTGTGTGTGTATGTATATATGAACATTTATATACTTCACGAACACAT